CTCCCTTCTGTTGTCTTCATGTTTCTCCATGGGGAATGCTTTACTGACCTGTCCCTCTTCTGCTGCTGACAGCATCAAGTCCACCCTTGTGCATTATCCTGGCATTAAAAATATATGTTTGCACCAGAGGTAGCAGTGGGGGCAACTGTGTAAAGGGAGATGTGAGCCCCCTGCTAAATTTTGGCAAAATGGGGATGGGTTCAGCATAGGTATGTAAAATGGGTAAGAGAGGGGGATGATCACACAAAGATCATCCTCCTTCTTTAAAGAAATGGGCAGTGTCAGTGACATGTCCTGGAAACTGAGCCAAGGGCTACAAGGGAGCAGAAAAAGCATCTTCGCCCCTGCCAGAGCAGTCCTGTGGTCACAAAAATTAGGGGTGGTGGAGTCTTTCTCTGTGTGTCATTGTGTCCTGAATGGAATTGTCTGTAGAGCAGACATACTCCAAGTCCTCCAGAAAATGCACTCAGCTTCGGTGTAGGTTGTTCCTGGAGAGGTCCCAAGCAGTGATCCTTTTGCCCTTCCAACCAGGCCTCAAGCTGTGGAGACTGAGGGAGGGGTACCAGGCCAGCTTGGTTCTGAGCCACTCCTTCCCAGGCAGGCAATATGTTGGTCCTGCTGCTCTGGTCATGCTTCAGGTAGGGCAGGGGGCATAGATTGTGCTGTGCTCTTCTAACTGTCCTTGCAAAGACTCGTGGAACATGCTTCCTGATCAACAGGGTTGGGTGTCCTCTGGAAACACTGCAAAATCTTTGTTTGTGCCTGGTGTGGAAGCAGTCTGGATGGCCAAAGCAGCACTTGTGGCAAAGACATGGGCAGGAAGAAGGATGTGTACCAATTGTCACAGAATCACAGAATCTTCAGAGTTGGAAGAGACCTCTAGAGATCACCCAGCCCTACTCCCCCACTAAAGCAGGATTGCCCAAAACACATTACTCAGAACTGCATCCAGGCGGGTTTTGAAAATCTCAGGAGAAGGGGACTCCACCCCCTCCCTGGGCAGCCTGAGCCAGTGCTCTCTCACCCTAACTGTAAAGAAGTTTTTCCGTGTATTTCAACAGAACTTCCTACGTTCCAACTTGTGCCCATTGGCCCTCATCCTGTCACTGGGAACCACTGAAAAGAGTCTGGCTCCATCCTCCTTCAGCCCACTCCAACTGGCCAACATACGCCTGGGTCACTGGGGTGACTCCAAGTTTGCCAGAGGTGTCCAGCAGAGAGTGGTGGGAGGGGAATAGCCTTCATCCTTAACCACTGGTGGTCTGGTGTTTAAGGTGGGTAGGGAGGAAGGAGAGAAGGAAGGTGGCAAAAGAGCCGGGCAAACTTCTGCTGAGAGCAAAGCTCAGGCTCAGCGAGAGAGTCTAAAAACCAAGAGCACAACTGCCGTGCCTGGAGAGATGATGCCTGGTAAGGAATGAGTGAGCAGAGCATGAGGGAGAGCAAGGAATGGTGCCGAGCCGTGCATGTGGATGTCCAAGCTGAAGCCTCAGGGTTGTGAGGTGACCTGCCCCGTTCATCAGGAAACACTTTAAAGTGAGGCCCTGGAGGGCAAAGGGATGGCATCACCTGGCGGGGCGGGACACTCCTCCTCACTGGCTGCATCATCAGCCTGTGCTGACGTGTCATTTCCCCGGGAAACATCTTGGCCTCTAATACTGTCACTTGAAAGGAGGATGTGTGGCTGAAGGGGCATGTCCTGAGCAGGGAAATGAAAACGGAATGTTGCAGGGCACAGTAAAAAACTCCAGTTTCTGTAATTGTGATGCTTTGCATGCAAGATGAGCTTGTTGGTAAACACATTATGTGTGCCAAGGGTGCCTCTGGGCCTGGGGCAGTCTGGAGCAGTATAAAAGCCAGTCCAAGTGCAGGCTCCCTCATCCACTTCTCTTGCCTTCTCCTTTGTGGTGAACAAGGTAAGCAGCAAGTGCCTTGGTCTGTTTCTTTTCTTTCACATTTTTCTCTTTGTCTTTTGGGCTCAGCTGTGTCTGTCCCTCAGTCATGCTCTGTTGAAACCATTGCCAACCCTCTCTCTTCCCTTCTGATGGAGATGAGAGAACGTCTTGTCTGTGTTTGCATGGTGTTGTTGGGGACTGCAGCTCCTACATCTCTCTTCCTCCCCACGCAGCCTGTCCCTGCTCCCCAGCCTGGGACTTCTCTCTTGCCGAGCAGGCTGTCAGGCTGTGCCTCACATGCTGCCTCTGCTTTCCCTGCCCTCTCTCCCAGGTGCACCTCCGTCCCACAGCCATGTCCTGCTACGATCTGTGCCGTCCCTGTGGCCCAACCCCGCTGGCCAACAGCTGCAACGAGCCCTGTGTCAGGCAGTGCCAGGACTCCCGCGTGATTATTGAACCATCTCCCGTGGTGGTGACCCTGCCGGGACCCATCCTCAGCTCCTTCCCCCAGAACACCGCTGTGGGATCCACCACCTCCGCGGCCGTTGGCAGCATCCTGAGTGCTGAGGGAGTGCCCATCAACTCCGGAGGCTTTGGCCTTGGTAGCCTTGGTGGCTTTGGTGGCCGCTACTACGGCAGAAGGTGCCTGCCCTGCTAAAGCCGGGCTGGATGTCCAGTGAGCGCATCGACCAGTAAGCCCACAGCCAGGTGCCGGATTGAGGACGGAGCTGCTG